TGGTCTGAAATACCAGTGATGAAATTAAAGGATTTAATTATTCGCTCTGGCTTATTACTGAAAACCAGATCGATTTTAGTTTCAGAGTATCTTGTTATTGTCGTGGGTTGTTCAATGTGTTGAGTATAATTTAAAGTGTCCATCATATCTTAGAGTATTTTTCTGTCCTTTTTGCAGTCCCAGTTGACATTGAAATCTCCCATTACAATTTTTTCACCTGTCTCCCCTGGCCAGCTCAAGTTATATAGCAGAAGTATCCTTTAACAGACTTCATAGTCTAGTAGTAAGTGCTCTGGGCTGGCATGCAGTTTTGTGCAGGTTCACAACCCGGTCTCAGCAGTAACCTTTCTTTTTTTTTTATCTGCGCTTGTCATTATAATGTGTCCAACTCTTTATAGAATAGAATAGAATTCAACTTTATTGTCATTGCACATGTACAGGTACAGGGCAACGAAATTCAGTTTGCATCCATCCAGAAAGTGCTTTAGCCGTGATATAGATGTATTACAATATATTACGTATGTTATAATGTACACGGTATGAAGTATGTTATGAATATTCTATGACTATAAGTATGTACAGGCTGTAGTTAATACAAGCAGTCCATGAGTTTAACGTGGGTCATATGTCAGGAGGCAGAGTTCAGGAGTCTGACAGCTGTTGGGAAGAAACTGTTCCGGTACCTGGTGGTCTTAGTCCGGAGGCTTTGTAGCGCCTCCCAGAGGGCAGCAGGGTGATCAGTGCATGTGATGGGTGACTGTGGTCTCTGATGATTTTACCTGCCCCTTTCAGACACCGCTTCCTGTAGACGTCCTTTATGGCAGGAAGTGGTGCTCTGGCGATGCGCTGGGCAGTTTTCCCGACCCTCGTTTATTGGCAACTTGTTTAAAATACTAGGACTAACCTGTGTTTTTCATTTTATTAATTTGGCCGGTGTGAGTCCATGTGAGGTGAGCAGAGTAAAACTAAAATGATGCTTAAAAATGACCAAATTCAAAGAGGTTTAGAGACAAAATATTTTGCATCCATTGTCTGAACCCGCCTGTCCACGTAGGGTCACGGGGGAGAAAATAATCAGTGAATCTAAAATATAAAACATGAATTCAGCTGGCTAAGTAAAGAACTACCGACACCACCGGGTTAGAACCCACTTCAGCACATGGCACAACTGGAAGGGCCAGCACTTTTCTTTACCACTGGACTACCATAGCCAAGTAGCCAATGACTTGCCCAAGAAGCTGTCATTTGGGAAACCTACCTATGACTCTGAACGTCAGTTGAGAGCAGTTGAGAGTCAGTCTCGTGCAGACTGACCAATGAAGACAGGACCTCAAGTTAAGACCCTCTCCTCATTGGTCAGTCTACACAAGGTGGGTCAAAGGTTACCCTGAGCGGGTTACGTGATGTCAGGCATTCAAGTATTGAGTATATTTACTGCATATTACAGTAAAATATTCTGTATGTGACCATATTATGGTGATCCTTGGGCAGTGATGATGGGGCCCTTGAATATTGTTGCCCAGGGTACAACGAAGTGTTAATCTGGCCCTGGATCTACGTCACACTGTCATTTAACATTCATGGACCCACCAATCTTGGCTCACGACGGGGAAGGCTGTTGTTGGTTTAGCGTCCAGGAAACAGCAGAGAATGTCTCAGCCAGTAGAAGCTAACTGTTAGCATTAACGACACCACCACACAGCAGAAGTCCTCCAGTCTTGTGTTATTTGTGGAGGTAAAACATCAACACTGCAGAGCAAAGTTAGTGGTAGAGTCATGTTGCTGTTAGCCAATCAGAGGAGAGATGTCCAAATATCAGGAAACAAGGCTCCAAACCGTAAATGTGTTAAGCTCTGCTCTGATATAGTTCCTGAAACAATCACATCTGAGCTTAATCCCCCACCCCTCCGAGTACGAACATTCATTCTTACTAGAGACCACTGCAGTTGTATGGCTTAAACTGATTAAATGAGTGTTTAATCAATACAAAATCAATACAGATTTTCTTAAAATCCAGCCGTGGAAAATCTTTTTTTTTCCCCAGGAGAGGTTTTAATATTTTTTACACATGTCACTCAAAGGAAATTAGCCTCTGGCCAGTATCATTATGAACAGGTGGTTCCAACATTCCTTTTGTCTTGCTGGTCTGTGGAATTAAATGACCCATGAATTCTTGATGGTGAGATTTCTACAGGGTAATCCAAATTCTAAGTCTGGGGCTCTGACATTATCATCCAGAGATACCCCCTGAGATTTTATAGAACAGAATACAGAGGCAACTGTAGCAGAGTTAAGCCTCCCTTCCAACGACCGTGAAAGCGGGATTCACCAGCGAGCCCGTCCAACCGAGAGTGATTCTGACGCAAAACGGGGGCAAAAGCATTCAGCGCCGCTGGTCCTCCAAAGCTGCAAACACTGCGCATGATTTCAGATGTCCACACAACAACAAGCAAGGTGACAGATGACAGCATGTATCCGAAAAGGTCTGTGGTGTATTTCCTGTTCTGTTTACCTAGGCTACGCGGCGTTCACAGGAAATGACGTACGCTGATCTGCACATGACTTTTGTTCTGAACGTTTGCTCTCGTGTTTTACATCCTGTCTTAACTCATGTCTAAACTGCCCAGTGTAAAAGTCGACTTGAAACGTAATGATATTGTCCCTCTGCTTCGGGGACAAGTCATTGCACTTTGCTACCAGTGGAAAGGAACTAGTTTACAGTAACGGTGGCAATTACCTTGAAGTACGTTTCGTGACGCTTTCACGTCCGGTAGAAAGGAGGCTTTAGACTCTGACTGTACAGCTACACAGACTTCATGTCAGACTTCCTGCACCTTTCAACTGAATCGTCTCCAAATATTTTCCAAAGAAAATGCAGAAGCGTGATTTGAGAACTGTTTAAACATTAGACTGTAGGTGTTGCGCAGCATAATCATTGTGCATTCAAATACCATCCAAGGCAACAGTCTCACTCGTCAGATCCCACTAAAATAAGATGTAGGCCATAAGGTGAACCAATAAAATGTTTTTGGAAAATTAATCTCACTCTGACTTCTGGCATCTAAGTGGGACCAAAAACGTATTTGGCTACCACTGATTGTACAAGTCAACCCACTTAGAAAGAGAGGTCTGTAATTTTCATCACAGGCACACTTCAACTGTACTGTTAGAGAAAAACCTTCAGAGCAGACTGGTTTTGTTGTTTGATAGTAAATGTTTCCATTACCATAGGGGGATGCTTTTGGTGATTGCACGGTGAATGTTGATTATTTTTTCATTAAAGAACAGAAGAAGGGCATTACAAGTAGCAGTAGAGCACATGTGTGAGGGGAGAGAGTCGGATGGCCGATGAATTTTATTGATAATGGAGTACAGTGACTTAGTGTTGCCTCGACTGGAGTTGATTAGACAGGAGTAATACTGTAGTTTGGTTAGTGTGATTAAGTTCTTTTACTGAGTCATATGATTTTTATATAGTTCTTTGTGAATAGTGAGACCAGTTTTCCTGTAGAGGTGCTCAAGCTGCCTGGGTTTGGTTTTCAGCATCCGGAGTTGAGGGGAAATCCAGGGAGCAGACTGACAGAACGAAACAGAACAAGTTTTAACTGGAGCAGGAGGGTTTAAAGTGTGAGCTAACTGATCATTGTAGAGAGCAGCAAGGTCATCAGGAGGAGAGATTGTCCGGTAGCTGAATATTATCAATACAGGAGGAGAGGGTGTCGATGTTGATGTCCTTTCTATTCCTAAAAGAGATGAGCCGGGTTGGTTTGGTAAAAGAAAGATGGGTTACAGTATTGAAAGAAATAAAATAATGATCAGTAATGTGGAGATCATCAGCTGCGCAGTTAAGAGGGGTGAGACCAGAGCAGCACAGCAGATCCAGGCAGTGTCCTTTGGAGTGAGTTGGAAAGTTGATGTGCTGATTGAATCCAATTTTTATGAAAAAAATAACTCATTTTGTGTTTTTATTTATTTATTTTCAAAAAAGTAACTTCTTCCTGGGGCATTTATTATAAATCAGTCTTGGTTATGCTCTGAAATATACAAAATATTACAAATTTTGCATCAATAGTTTTTGTGTAGCAACAGATTTTAAAATTACCATCAAGTGTATAGTGGGTTTTTTTTTCATAGTGTTCCATTGGTCTGTTTTCAAAATTCCAAATTTAATTTTCTAAATTTGTCCAGAGAGAGGTTTTGTGACAAAATTTGTACCTTATGCACAAACAATGGTGAAATGGCGTCCAAAGAAAAGCAAGAAACTGCCCAAATGGACAAAAATGTCCCTGATGAAGCCTGAGGGTTAAATACTGTTCTTAGCCAGTATGTGCTAAAATTAACCTTTACTGGGTTAATGAAAAGTCACTCAGACCCCACCGCCCTCTGTTGATGGACTTTGTAAAAACATGCCTGGTGGGTCCACAACATTTCCTGCATATTTTAGATCGTGAAAACAACTGGTTTGTTTTATCTAGTGATGAATCGCTCCTGTAGAGACTAATGAAGGCTCAGGAGACATAAATTCATCAGCAGGTTAAATGCATAAAATGTAATGATTGGCAGGGGTGAGGAGTGAGCACCACCTCACCCCTGCCATGTGGACTTCAAGGGATAAACCATCAATCCTGCTCAATGGCCAACTTTCCTCACGGGGTCACCCATAAAGACGGTGGGAGGTCCTATCGAGATATTGACCAGCTCTTCTGTGAAGTAAGACGTAGCTTACCAGTGTCAGGCTTCAGCTAACTCCATATTCCCTCACCAGAGCTAGCTGTCCATGATCCATCAGATTCATGAACATCAAAACAGTTGCAAAAAAATGGAACATATGTCGGAAAAAAATGTGCTGTGAATCCAAAGCTAAAAACAAATGACCCAGTTTATTTATGTTTGATATTGACCTGAAGCTAACGGTAGCTAACGGACTAGATAGTGTTCCCGATTTAGCACACTGATGAATGGTTCCACGCTCCTTCAGAAATGTTGAAAAACTAAATAAATTCATTAAGTGAAGTACGGTTTTATTTTTATTCACAGTTAAAGTGTTAATGATGACATCAATATACATGTATTCATGAAAAGTTGACAGTGAGCTAGAAACTGACTGAAACCGTTGGTTGAATACTTGTTTTCTGCACCTCTCTGCTTGGAATGAACCAGCTGATGACGGTTTTTCTAATCTGCTGAAAACACACGAAGATCTTGATGCTTCAAACTTCAACCAAGTCATTACAATAGGTGCTACAGTCTGTACACAGTCTTTTCTAATTTGGTCAATTCATTTTAAAAGTTATTTACAAATATGTTTAATCCCTGTACACCCTTTTATCCTTCTACTATGAACTTAGTGTCAACTCACTATTTTTTGAAGCACGTAGATGCCAGAGGTCAGAATGAGATGAAACAAGTTCACGTGACTGCCTAAGGAATAAAACAATGCCCAGAGTGGATCCAGCTTCACGAGAACACTTGTCCTCTCTGCTCCTCCATCCCCACAAATTGTCCCTTTGCTGGTGACCATGTTGTGGAACACATACATGCAGACTTCACCGAGTCATATCTTCATGCCGAGCTTGGCTTTCTGTGAAAAGAATGACATAACATCAGTTACAGACAGATGTAGATTCAACCTGCACGAAACAAAACAAGATCGATTCTGAACAACAGAAGCTTTTAGTTAAAGCTATTTTAGTTAATCTAGAACAGCTTTCAGTTAATGCTTAAGATCTAAACCTGAAACAGGATCTTTCATGGAAGTAAATTCAAAGAGTCGGAGTACCCGGCCCGGAAGGTTACCGGGGTCCCACCCGGGAGCCAGGCCTGGGGTTGGGGCCCGTGAGCGAGCGCCTGGTAGCCGGGCTTTTGCCCATGGGGCCCGGCCGGGCTCAGCCCGAACCGGATTCATGGGCTCATCCAACAGTGGACCCACCACCCGCAGGAGGAACATGAAGGGTCCGGTGCAATGTGGATCGGGTGGCAGACCAAGGCGGGAGCCTTGGCGGTCCGATCCCCGGACAAGAAAACTGGTTTTTGGGACATGGAACGTCACCTCGCTGGCGGGGAAGGAGCAGGAGCTTGTGGCAGAGGTTGAGCGGTACCGCTAGATATAGTCAGACTCACCTCGACACATAGCATTGGCTCTGGAACCCAAGTCCTTGAGAGGGGTTGGACACTCTCCTTTGCTGGAGTTGCTCCGGGTGAGAGGCGGAGGGCTGGGGTTGGCTTTTTGTTAGCCCCAAGACTCTCTGCCTGTGTGTTGGGGTTTACCCCGGGGGACGAGAGGGTAGCTTCCCTGCGCCTTCGGGTCGGGGAATGGGTCCTGACTGTTGTTTGTGCTTATGGGCCAAATATCAGTTCAGAGTACCCACCCTTTTTGGAGTCCCTGGGACGAGTGCTAGATAGTGCTCCATCAGGGGACTCCATTGTCCTGCTGGGGGACTTCAATGCTCATGGGCAATGACAGCTTGACCTGGAGGGGTGTGACTGGGAGGAACGGCTCGCCTGATCTGAACTCGAGTGGTGTTTCATTATTGGGCTTCTGTGCAAGCCGCAGTTTGGCCATAACGAACACCATGTTCGAACATAAGGATGCCCATCGGTACACTTGGTACCAGGGCAGCCTAGGTCGCAGGTCGATGATAGACTTTGTAATCGTATCATCTGATCTGCGGCTGTATGTTTTGGACACCCGAGTGAAGAGAGGAGCGGAGCTGTCAACTGATCACCACCTGGTGGTGAGTTGGATCAGATGGCAGGGGAAGATGCCGCGTAGACCTGGCAGACCCAAATGCATAGTGAGGGTCTGCTGGGAACGCCTGGCAGAAGAACCTGTTAAGACGGTCTTCAACTCCCACCTCCGGCAGAGCTTTGACCGCGTCCCAAGAGCAGTGGGGGACATTGACTCTGAGTGGGCCTTGTTCCACTCTGCGATTGTTGAGGCAGCTGTTGCTAGCTGAGGTCGCAAGGTGGCCGGTGCCAGTCGTGGTGGCAACCCCCGTACCCGCTGGTGGACACCAGAGGTTCGGGGAGCCGTCAGGCTGAAGAAGGAGGCCTACAGGGCGTGGCTGGTCTGTGGGTCTCCAGAGGCAGCAGACAGGTACCGGATAGCCAAGTGGGGTGCAGCAGTGGCAGTTGCCGTGGCAAAATCTCGGGCGTGGGAGGAGTTTGGTGAGGCCATGGAGAAAGACTATCGATCGGCTCCAAAGAGGTTCTGGCAAACTGTCCGGCGCCTCAGGAGAGGAAGGCAGCAACTCGCTCACACTGTTTACAGTGGGGATGGGGAGCTGCTGATGTCAACTGGAGCTATAGTCGGACGGTGGAAGGAATACTTTGAGGAGCTCCTCAATCCCACCTATGCGCATTCCGAGGAGGAACCAGAGCCGGGAGACCTGGGGATGGACTGTCCAATCTCGGGGGCAGAAGTTGCTGAGGTAGTCAAACAACTACACAGCGGCGGAGCCCCGGGGGTGGATGAGGTTCATCCTGGGTATCTCAAGGCTATGGATGTTGTAGGGCTGTCATGGTTGACACTTCTCTGCCACATTGCGTGGTCATCGGGGGCAGTTCCTGTGGAGTGGCAGACCCCATCTTTAAGAAGGGTGACCTGAGGGTGTGTTCCAAATATAGGGGGATCACACTCCTCAGCCTCCCTGGAATGGTCTACTCAAAGGTACTGGAGAGGAGGGTCCGATCGATAGTTGAATCTCAGATTGAGGAGGAGCAATGTGGTTTTCGTCCTGGCCGTGGAACTGTGGACCAGCTCTACACCCTTGCAAGGCTGACGGAGGGGGCATGGGAGTTTGCCCAACCAATCCACATGTGTTTTGTGGATTTGGAGAAGTCTTATGACCGTGTCCCCAGGGGCACCCTGTGGGGGACGCTCCAGGAGTATGGGGTGGGTGGCTTTCTGTTATGGGCCATTCAGTCCCTTTACCAGAGGAGCGTGAGTTTGGTCCGCATAGCCGGTAGTAAGTCTGGCCTTTTCCCGGTGAGGGTTGGACTCCGCCAGGGCTGCCCTTTGTCACCGGTTCTGTTCATTACCTTTATGGACAGAATTTCTAGGTGCAGCCGTGGTGTGGAGTGTGTCGAGTTTGGTGGCAGGAGAATCTCGTCTCTGCTTTTTGCAGATGATGTTGTCCTCCTAGCTTCATCCAGCTCTGACCTTCAGCTCCTGCTGGGTAGGTTCGCGGCCGAGTGTGAAGCGGCTGGGATGAGGATCAGCACCTCCAAATCTGAGACCATGGTTCTCGACCGGAAAAGGGTGGCTTGCCAACTCTGGGTCGGGGGAGAGGTCCTACCTCAAGTGGAGGAGTTTAAGTATCTCGGGGTCTTGTTCACGAGTGAGGGTAGGAGGGATCGGGAGATCGACAGGCGGATTGGTTCAGCATCTGCAGTGATGCGGACGCTGAGCCGATCTGTCGTGGTGAAGAGGGAGCTGAGCCAGAAAGCCAGGCTCTCGATTTACCGGTCGATCTACGTCCCAATCCTCACCTATGGTCATGAGCTTTGGGTAATGACCGAAAGAACGAGATTGCGGATACAAGCGGCCGAAATGAGTTTCCTCCGTAGGGTGGCCGGGCTCAGCCTTAGAGATAGGGTGAGGAGCTCGGACATTCGGGAGGGACTCGGAGTAGAACCGCTGCTCCTCCGGATCGAAAGGAGCCAGTTGAGGTGGTTTGGGCATCTGGTCAGGATGCCTCCTGGACGCCTCCCCGGAGAGATGTTTCAGGCATGTCCTGCCGGCAGGAGGCCCCCGGGTCGACCCAGGACACGTTGGAGAGGTTACATCTCCAATCTGGTCCGGGAACGCCTTGGGGTCCTGCCGGAGGAGCTGGTGGAGGTGGCCGGGGAGAGGACGGTCTGGAGCTCCCTAGTTGGTATGCTGCCCCCGTGACCCGGACCCGGATAAGCGGAGGAAGACGACGACGATCTAAACCTGACTATTTCCACACTGTTCCACACCATTGAATTCTTGCTAAAGGGATGCCTCGATACTGGATCAATTTGAACCCTTGAATTCTTGGTGAGAATGTCTCTGATCAGAAGACCAATAAAGTTTCAGACTGTTGAACAGAGTTAACTCACAATTCCAGAAGCATGTTTGGGTTTGACGCTATATGAGGCCTTCTCCTTGGCTTGTCGGAAACACTCTTCAGCTGCTTTTAACCTGCAGAACATAACATGTGAATTAGAACGCTGCACTCTGTAGAGCTGATCAATTAAAAGCTTTTTCCTTTTTTTTTCTTTTTTTTGCTGCAGACTTCTTGATTTAAAGGTGTGGATCACTGTAAAACCATTGTTTAGATCATAATCGGTCACTCATGCATGTGTTTTTCATGCAGGCAGAACAAGAAAACAGTCTCCTACTCCACCAGCTTCAGATGGAAAATAGACCGATTGACTGGAGAAGGTTCTAGAAAGTGTGCCATAGGACCACACCTTCCACTGCTGCTGCTGTTACTGCTTCTTCAGGTTCCTGTTACCACTGTGGCTCTGATAAACAGGCAGCAAACAGCCCAGAGTGCTCTGCCCTGCTGCTGCAGCAAGACGTAGAAACTACAAGTGATTTTGCTCATTTGTGTCGTTCAACACAGACCTGCTCTGTTAATGCTGTGGAGTTACTGTAGAATCAACGTCTCTGTTAGGAAAATCCTGACTCTTCCCATCAGATCCGTTGCACAGCTACCATTAAAAGTCCATCAGCTGAGGCGTCTGTACAGTTTACTGTGGACTCTGGGTCTTCAGTTTCTATTATTCACACAAGCAGCTCATTTCAGCAGTGGTGCCCTGCAGGCTCCAGGTGTGACTTTGACTACATATCTCCTATACCTGTGCTAGGATGTCTACCTGCCACTGTGTCAGAAGTTATTGATAGTTATCCACTCCCACACGTTGATGAAACGCTGCCCCTGCTCTGAGATGCAAATGCTTATTTCCACTCTTAAGGTAAAGTCTGCTTATTTCAGTTGCAGTTGCATGAAGAAAGCAGATACCTGACTTTTTTTTTATCTTATGTTTTGCAGGATGTCGTACAAACTGGCTTCGGCACCTTCAGTTTTTCAGAAGATGCTAGCCACGGGTTAGCTGGGCTACCAAATGGTGTTCATTACCTCGATGACACCATTCTGTGGGGTTCGACTCAGTCTGAACGTGATGTTGCTCTCACTGCTCTTATACAGAGCTTATCAGATGCGGAAACGTCAGTTTGACTAAAACAGTCAGCATTTTCTAGGTCCCTCAGTAAATCCTGATTAACACATCTCTGTCCGCGTGGGTACGTAGCCACAAATCACCATTTTGCGTAGATTGCCCTAAAAAAGAAGTTTAATTTACCAGATCTAAGCTAGATGTTCATTATTCATTGTTTCCACTGTGCTGATTGCAGAGGAGGGAGAGGAGAAACGACAATAAAACCTGTGTGATTCTTGGCCTGAGCAGCTACAACCCATGACTGGAGGAGTACGAAGGTATGCAGCAAACTTTTTATTTGTGCAAGGAAAATGTAGGAAACGGTGGTTTAGAGGTGTTGACTGCATAAAGAGATGTAGAACGAGGGGCGGATGTGTCCGTGTTCGAATGTCTCTGAATTATCGACCACCTTTAGTTTGGACTACAGCACACATTCGCTGTGGCGTTGTGTCAATAAGCTTCTGCAACATCAGCAGTGTGCAGTAGTCGGTAAAAACCGATATAATGTTTGGTGCTGGTTGGTTACCTGGTTTGCTACAGCTGAAGAGCCGCCTGTGCATCACCTTTTATGGTCCATGTAACACAAACGCTGTGTGCTCCACCATGTTTCTTTTTATTTAGCCTTTTTCTCAGTTTTAAAACAGCATTATCTTTACAGCTGACTGATGTTTCGTCATGTTAAACTGGTCCAATAATGTGCATAAAAAGTTTCTCCAGAAATAGCTATTCAAGGTATTCAAAATACAGAATCTGTTTTCTTTTTGTTCAAGTTGCACTTTGTGTGTGTGTGTGTGTGTGTGTGTGTGTGTGTGCGTGCGTGCGTGCGTGATTATAGCATGTTTATAATTTGCATTTATGAGGTCACACTCACATTTTTATTCATTGAAAGTTTGTCTCAAATTACTGATACTTACCAAATTATATATATATATATATATATATATATATATATATATATATATATATATATATATATATATATATATAGTTATTTATGTACATAATCCAGTCCGTTTAACCCTCAGGCTTCACTTTAAATTTCATCCTAAAGAGTCATTAGAGGACAAAAACGTCCGATTGTAAAAGTGGCCATAAAAAATGAATACATAATTTATTATTATTTTTTTTTTGCTTCTTTTCATAGATCTGTTTGAACAACTTCAGCACTGCTCAAACATAAAAAAATTCAATCGTTTTGAGGCTTTTAACCCTTGAAATGCCTGTTTGAATTCTCAGTCATTGCTGTAATTTATGAAGAAAAAAAACACAAAAACTGAGTAATTTTCTAAAAAAGACATTTTTTTTTTGCCTGGGGTGTGTAGTACAAATCAGTCTTGATTACATTATGAAATATCTAAATTTTGAATTTTTTGCATTTATAGTTTTTACATAGCAACAGATTTAAAATGTACTACACACTCGAGTCATTAGAGGACAAAAATGTCCACTTTTATAACTGCTTTAAAAATGGTCCAGGTTAATATTTTTTTCTGCTTTTTGGGTCTAAATCTTGTGATCAACTTTAGTTCTGATTTAAAAAAAATCAAATATTGAATATTTATCTAAATTTTAACCCTTTATATGCCAGTTTGATTATGTGATGCTCATTTTTTCATGAAAAAATCAGACAAAAGAGGAGATATTTTACATCAAACATATTTTGAGTAACTGAAATCATTTTTTTTTAAATCAGCCTTGGATATGTCAAGAGTCTGGCAAAATATCACATTTTATGCTTTTTTAGTTTTTGTGTAGCGGCAGATTTAAAATGTACCACCCTCTTGTGCCTGTTATGGACAAAAACGTCCCACTGACTTCATTGCAAATAATCATGCTTTCTGTGATGTTGTGGTTTCATTTTGGACAAAAGTAGTCAAATTTATGATTTTTACTGTTCACCCCCAAATTCAGTCATTTCTCCATATGTTGCCCAGGCGAGAAAGTTTACACATTTCTTTAATCTTCTGCTGTTTTTATTGAACTCAGAAGCTCAGCATGTAAACAAAACATAGTTTCATTCTCACATGTAAGACCAAAGGGTAGAAAATAAAAACTATATGTTTATGCACCTGGCTGGAGCCCAGGTACATCCAAACTCTGTAGTTCAGTTTGTTTATGCATGTGCAGAAGTGGGAATGCTTGCTTGCATTTTGAGGTGAGACAAAGTTCAAACACTAACAGGGTGAAATACGTCTCCACCCATTGTGTGACTCACCCTTAAAGGGGTAGGCTGAAAAAAGGACCAGGGGACCAAATCAAAATAATCTATAACCAACATTTTTCCAGATGAGGAAGCCAACCAATATAAACAAACACTACTATTATAGTGCATTTGCTGATATAAAGTCATAATTGCCCCATTAACATCAGACATGGCAGCAGAAAGCAAACGAGAGGGAGATATTTAGAAACATTTAGCTGCAACTGGTTAAATTGTTATTACAATATATCTAAATGTGTAAAATGTAAACATGTCAAAGTGCAGCTAGTAATATTTGGATGTATTAGTTTAAAATCAGCAGTTAAAATAAAAACCCTTTGGATTGAATCTAAACCAACAATAAAAGTCAGGCAGGCAAACTGTAAAAACAAAATTAGGATGCTACCTCTCCTTGAGAATGGCCTTGTTTTCCTTTTTCCACTGCTCCTTGAAATCAGAGGCGAATTCATGCCAGATGGAGAAGAGAGTGTTGGGTGAGATTTCCCTCTCTCCGGCTTTAGGCTTCACTGAGAAGAACACTGTGAGCTCCAGGAACCTGGCAGATAAAATCAACCACTTTATTTACTGGAGAAGGAAAAATACAATTAAACTGTGCAGTTGTGGACACATCATAATGTTAAAGATGTGAGAGAAGTCCGTCAGCGCTGAATGTTAAAGCACAGACACCAACCAATGATGGATGTTGCTCTTACAGTTTATGAGTGCTGCCCAGCTCAATGTCCAGAGTTTCCAGTTCAGTTTTAGCTATGGATGAAGGAATAGGTCAAAGGTTAGAGTTAGCTGCCTTTCCTATGATATGCTGTGTTTTTGGTGTTCAGCAAACCTGTCCTTTATTTGAAGGTTCTGCAGATGACTTAGTAATTACATTTCAAACTCAAGAGAAGTAAATCTGATTCTCTGAAACCACTCTGCACATGCAAACGCTTTAACTCCACTGATGCATCAAGAGAAATCTCAACCCTAAATGAACAGTGGCTTACCTTGTGTAATGAAGTCCTCCATCTTTTCTTTGAAAGGTTGCAAGTTATCCTCATCCGACACTTTGCACACCTTTTCTACTTCTGACGTACATGCTGGTGAAATAATTGAGATACAAATTCAGGATTAGGAGAGTACGGTAAAAGTACATCTGAGAACGGTAAAAAGCCTTTTTAGAAATGTCATCTTATGTTTTTTTTTTAATCTTATCTGCCAAATCAACACTACATGAAATCAGGTGAATGTTCTTAGCTACGGCTTAAACGTCTTGTTTCCGAGTCACATCCCACCCTCACCACGCCCACTTTCTGCCATAAATAGTCAATGCAAAGTGCCTTGTGGATCTCATGCATATACATAAGTCGGCTTGTTGCAGCGCTCCGCCATTAACGATGGTGACCGCAGATCAAGGAAGCGTAATTTCACAGAAGCACAAGTTGAGGTACTTGTGGGTGAGGTGGAGAAATGAAAGGAAGTGCTTTTGCAAAACAAGTAAGAGAAAATCCACGGAGTGGCACAGCGTTGCTGAAGCCGTCAATGCTGAGTTGTTCAGAGAGATCTGTGGCGGATATAAAAAAAATGGTCCAATCGGGATTCGATCCCCAGACTCTCGGGTGAAGTCGCACGTGCTAACCAGTCAGCCAAACGGAGATCTCCCCTGTTCAAGTAGCCAGGGCGCATGATTAATCGGGTCACAGTGACAGGACACACACTGTCACAGACGCATGACGTTCTGTCTCAATCTGTCCCCCTGCTGATATTCTGCATTCCGTATTCTGTGCTTCAGGCCGTGTGTGTGTGTGTGAGTGTGTGTTTACTTGTTCTGTGTGAACACAAAGCAGTACAAGTGATAATGCTGCAGGATTTCATAACTGTATCCTTCTCAGCAGCAGCACTGCAGGTGCTCTCCATGTCCAACATGTCCTTAGTCAACTTAAAGTTGCGCACATCTTTCCTCTACGTTTTCTTTCATAAATCCCAAAGTTTGCGTGGAAAGTTTCTTACGCAGTTTTCTGACCTCGTTTTGTACGTAAGCAAGCTTGATAAATGAGGCCCAAGGACACTTCTGCAGCTTTTGACATCGTCAACCACAAAGCTGCAGGAAGGCTTGAATTGTAGGTTTGGATTAAAGGGACCCCTTTTGACTGGTTTTGTTACTGGTTGGTTACCTAACAGATAGAAGCTTTAGAATCTGCATTGATGACAGATCCTCTTCCCCTGTGACACCTACCTGGACAACACATCCTCACACCCGTAGCGGCTGAAACTGACGAAGGGTGACCGAGCATTTGTTTTCCGACGCATTGGGGCTCCCAACGCGTCGGGAGGTGATGCGCTGCGCCAGAGCGTCACTTTCTGACAGCTGCGGTAAAACAGAGATTTTAGCGAATTGTGACCTTTAACCTTCCCCTCACCCCATTCCAATCTGAACCCACTTGCGCATGCAAACCTTTGTTTTTTGTTGTATCGTTCCTCTCAAACATGGTTAATGGGAAATAAAGAAAGAGTAACTGGGTTAAGGTTAGGATGGGGCGAGGGGATGGTTAAATCGCTAGAGGTTAGAGGTTAAATGTCGGTGATATGTTTGTTTTACCGCGGGCGTCACCTCCTGACGCGTTGGGAGCCCCAACAAAGCAAACGCTTGGTCACCCTTTGTCACTTTCAGCCACCTCAGGTGTGAGAATATGTTGACCTGGGGGGTGCCACAAGGCTGAATTCTGGGACCTTTACACTTTTCTCTCTATATCCTCCAACTGGGTAGGATTTTTACTAAAGATGGCATGAACTATCACATCTACGCTGATGACTGTCAAATTTATCTGGCTCTAAATCAACAAAATTCTCTTTATGGAAAGTCTTTCAGAAACTACTGACTACTTTTGCTTCCAATTTCTTCCTTCTAAATGACGATCAAACAGACTCCATCCTATTCATACCAAAAAAACAAATAAATAAAAATTACGTTTCCTTAAACGCAGATCTTTTTTCACTCCCCTTCAACCTTACATCCTGTGTCACCAGCCTTGGGGTCAAACTTGACTCTGAACTGTCCATGGTTTGAAAAATGAAGGAAAATATGAAGTCCTGCTTTTTTCAAGTCCGCTGGTTAACATGCCTAAAACACACTCTCAAAGACCTCACCAAAGACCTGAATCGATCACTCGTGCTTCCATTCCACCTAGATCAGATTACACAAACTCCATCCTTATTGGTGTGTCAACAAATCCTCTCTTGATCATCTATTGGAGGTGCAAAATGCTGCAGCACAATTTTTAGCTAACATGTTGCAGACATTATTCACCCATCTTAGCTTACTAATCATCTGCTTTCTACCATGCTCAAAGTTTAAATGCTTGTCAACAAAGCCCGTCATAAGCTAGCATCCTCTTACTTTTCGGAGATGATCATTCCTCAAGTGCTTGCTTGATATTTGAGGTCTGCTGACCTCCTGCTCCAGATTGTGCTATAAATCCCAGGGGAGTGGGGTCTCTCTTTTACTGCCCCGAACACCCGAGGCAGGTTCCATCTTTAGCCCAGATTAAAACTGCTCTTGTATTATTTTCATCTAGCATTTTTGATTCCTTTAAACAGACTTTTGCAGTTTTATTTTTCTGTTGCTATACTAGTTCTTCAATACGTTTGTTTTACTGCGTTTTATCTATTCAGTACTTTGATCAGTTGTCATGCTGTTTTTAAATGTGCTATGGAACTAAAACTGGTATGGTACAGATGTTTAGGTTTTTTTATTCCAGCTACATGGTTTTAATCAGGTGTTGTTGGTCTCGATTTGAGTTATAATCTCTTTGTAGTTCTCGTAGGCCTGAATTAATCATTTTTGCCTTGTCTCTTTACTTTCCTTCCATTTTCACTTATCTAACATCGTTTGACAATTTCACTCAAATGGGCACAAACATTTCTAATTCACATCCTTAATTTGGAGCTCTTATGCCTCAGGGGTGTGTTTCCAGTCCTGGTGGTTGTCACCACCTTTTTAAAACAGACAACCTAACTCAGGATAGACTGGGTCCCTTCAAAGGCAAACTGAAATCATCAAATGAAGACATTTCCCCCCATTTGTTGAAAAAGTGTTAACAAAATCAACACTATCAGAGCTTCCTTCCTTTCTTTTTATACAACTGTATTATCTGAAAAGATCAATGCTTTATTTGTGGATCGTTTGTATTTTAAACTTTTTAGTGTTGCTGATTTGGGACCGATTTAAAAAACAATGCATCCAAACTACATTTCCCCAGCAAAGACTATACAGTAAAAGCATAGACTGTCTTTCGCGACACGATGAACACATTTTACCTCTCAGATCCTTTCGGAGTCGAGTCAGGTCTTTCTGAAAATCGTCAAACTTCATCTGTGAAGACTGGAATAAGTCATGAGGCTCTGGTAAAGGAAACACGCATGTCTCCCTACCAGCATCCTGGGAATGGACACACACACACATACACACACACACACACACACACACACACACACACACACACACACACACACACACACACACACACACACACACACACAGTTATTAAATTACACAAACTGTCAACATATCATAACCATAAATACACAATATTATACTGCTGTCTCTAAAGGTATGAATGCTGCACAGATAAATTAAGTCCCAAAGTGCAGGATAACATGTACAGGAAGTACTACCCAAAACTGCACTACAGTTAGTGTGGTTTTTAATTTCTTTGCTGCATGTAGCCAGGAAAACGCATGACGGCACAACACACAAAAATACACACACACTATATGTATATGTATATATATATATAAATATAAATATATGTATATGTATATGTATATACATATATGTATATGTATATATATATATATATATATATATATATATATATATGTATGTGTAAATATATATGTATGTGTATATATATGTATGTGTATATATATATGTATATATATATTTATATATACATATATATATATATATATATATATGTATATATACATATATATATATGTATATATACATATATATATATACATATATATATACACATACATATATATATATATATATATATATATATATATATATATACATAGATGTATATATACATATATATATATATATATATATGTATATGTATATATATATATATATATATGTATATGTATATATATATATATATATATATATATATATATATATATATATATATATATATATGTATATGTATACATATATATACACGTCTAAAAAAGCAAAGCGTAAACACGAGTTCAAATATTTGTTAGTTTACCTCATCGAAGTGTCGGAGGTAGTAGGCTACAATATAAGAGAGAAGACTTTTCACACCATCCTACAAGTTCAAAGAAGAAAAAGAAGGTTGAAGAAGAGAAAACACAAATGAAAACAGTTACTGGTACATTTTGAGCATTTGTTACATTCATCAGGTGTGCCTCAAGGTTCAGTTTGAGTACCCAGACTGTTTCTGTTCTACCTGCTTTACATTTAAGGACATTATTTATTTGAAGATGATAGTAAGTTGCATATCTTTTCTTTTATTTATTTCCCCCCTTGTCCTGTCTGGCTGTGAAGCAAACCGAATTGATGTCTGAATGCTGGTAACAAGCCTTACAGATTTACTCTCAGATGGAGCATCAAAGCGTCTGCTTTTAATTTCACGCCTGGTACTTAAAACTTTATTGTTATTGTTTTTGAATGCTTTTTAATTCCAACCAGACACGGAGACAGAGGTGAAAGAGAAAGGAAGAGACAAAAGGTGTGTGTGTGTGTGTGGAGGGGGGGGGGGTCCACAAAAATAAACAATAATGAACAAGAGTCTGCTTCTAGACCTGCAGAAAGAGAGAAGAAGAAACAAACAAAAAAATGGGACACAACAACAGTACAACAAGATCACTGTGTCAATTTGATGAAGAAATATATAATCATCATTGTTTAACTGAACAATCACACTATAATAAATCACAGTGCATTAAGTGCCCACCATAGCCTTAAGACATATGTTGAACGTACCCAGGTCCAAACCTTTGAGAGCACCATGTGAGCACCTGTGTGTGTACATGCGCTTGTTTATGTAAGGTTTATCTACAGGAGCGTCCAATAGAAAGTGTGAGGGGCGGAGCTCCAAGTCCCATAGATCCAGGAGCTGCCCCAGAACACAGGAACCCCAGAGAGACTGCGACCAGAAAAGCCCCCGCCCCCCTCGAGAGGCGCAGAGGATCGCCCCGGGGGGCCACAACCAGCAGCCGGCAGAGTCCCGAGAGATATCGGCGGCAAGCCCGCAGCCTCCCACCCCCTAGCCGGCCGAGCCCGGGACCCAGCGACCTGGGACCCAAGGGTGACCACCCCCCGCCGGGGACCCAGCAGAGCCCAGGGACCCAGACCCCACCAGGCAGCCACCGGGATTGATCAGGCAGACGCCAAAAATCTTAAACCCCCTGACCCGGGAGCCACGACCCAGGCAGACCAAGGCACCGCACTCCACACCAGTTGTGGCGGGGGGAGGGGAGACGAAGATCTATATCATCAAAAGAAGTCCCAGGAGAGGGGAGGAGTCAAAGGCCCCACCTGACATATACAGTCATACACAAACACAGTCACACACTCCCTCCCTCATGCTCACACATGCACATACAGCCAAAGACTTACAAAAATGCACGCCGGACACCCACTCATGCTCCCCATACACACCGTCTGGCCTATGCCAGCTGATGCACCCACACCACCCCACTTGCGTCCACAGCCCTCAGTGTCTAAGTGAAGTTTAAAATTGGAAGTGGGCACCGGCACTTGGGATGAGACTGAGAAATCCCCCTGCCAAATGCTGTTGAATGTGCTCACTCCCAAGTCCCTGAGTATGTGTTTGCATGGAATGTCGTAGGTGGAAGTGTTTAAGGTGCAAATAAAATCGGGGGGCAGGTTGCCACAGGAATGCGGAAATGGGGTCCATACCTGCACCCCCTGACTTGTTCACCCCCCAAGGTCCTATGTGCATGTTTGTGTGATGATATGAGGGAGCAGGAGGAGAGAAATGTGTGGGGATGGGGAGGAATGGCTGGTTACATCAAAGGCATAACAGAAAAAATAAGAGCAACAATGAAAAAACACAACATAAACACAACAACAAAACCATACACAACAGTTAGAAACAGACTAGTACACCCAAAAGACAAGATACCAGCTGGACTTAAATGTGGAGTCGTTTACGAAATCCCATGCAAACTCTACAATAAAACATACATAGGAGAAACCGGACGCCAACTCAACACACGAACAATAGAACATAGAAAGGAGTGCGAGAAAGAAACAAGTCAAAAACACACAAGAGCAGCAAAACAAGAAGCAGAAAGCACAATAAAGAAGTCAGCCGTAACAGATCATTGCACAAGAGAAAACCATATAATGGACTGGGACAACACAAGGATCATAAACACGAACAACAAAAATACAAAAGATGGATAAAAGAAGCTATAGAGATAAGGAGACGTGGATGTGGGACCATGAACAGAGACGATGGAGTTTACACGTTGGACCGTGCATGGGACTGCATCGTCGGAGAGGGGAGAGCGGGCAGCAGAGGGCGACAACCTCCTCTGCCAGAAGGCTTTTTTTGGTCTTGCTTTGTTGTTGTTTTCTAGTTATTCAAATTGGTTTGCTAATTAATTATATATTTAATTTTCAGTAAATGTTACCTTAATGACTAGTAATTTTTTCCTATACTGTTTTAGTCTTTAATGTTGTATTTGTAGTCCCTTCCCTCTCGTTTGTAATGGTCTGATCAGCCAGTATAAAATCCTCCCTGGTGTTTCCTGTTGTAGGTCAGTTAGTGTTTTGTTTGCTACGGTTACATTGCTGTAAAGCCTTCTAGTTAAGTTGACCTCTTTTAGGGGCCCCATTTTCTCAGTGTTGTATTTTTGTTCAATTGGGTGAACAAAACCCAGATTTTTCAGATTCCTGTGGCTCATTTAAAATCGCTCTGTCCATGACAAGTTAGTGTCAGAAGAGAGATTTTTGCCCACTATGAGCCCAGGTTTGTTGGCATTTTTTTTTTGGCCGCATGTGGCCTGTTTGCTTCTGTACCCCATCCATGAAGCAGGGCTGGTTTGATTCCTTAGCATGAAATATTGGAGGTGTGGCATGAGAGTGCGTGAAGAGGGTCAGTGTGTGTCTCTTGCTCAGTGCATGAGAGTTTGCATCCCTGTTGCAAGCTGTACTCAAGGCTAAATAAAACCCACGTTGTTTCAGGACCAACAAGTCTGCTACCATACAGAGTGGCAGCAGGTGGCCGGATTTGGAGTCTTATTTTCTGATATTTGGACATCTCTCCTTCGATTGTATTACAGCAACGCAGCTCTACCACTGACTTGCAACACTGACGTTTTATCTCCACAACTAACACAAGCCTGCAGGAGTTTTTCTGTGTGTTGGTGTTGCTAATGCTAACAGTAAGCTTTTACAGTTTTCTGCTGCTTCCTGGATGTTATAACAACAACAGCCTTCCCCATTGTGAGTCAAGATGGGTGAGTCAATCTGTCGGGCTTTTCTAATCCTAGAGCAGGTCTATTCAATTCCAGGCATTGTTCTGTGCATCACTGAAATGCAGCTGGCGGGTTCATAATGCCAAAGGGAATCCTAATGCGCTCGTAAAGGTCTTAGGTTAGGGGTGTCAAACTTAAATTTGAACTGGGCCAAAATGAATAACTGGGACGAAGTTGCAGGCCAAACTCAATATTTACCATACCATACCACTTCATTTCTATAGCACATATAAAAAAAAACAGCATGACAGCTCACCAGCTGTCATCCAAAAAGGACAAAAACAGTCAATAATAACACCAGAAAATAACACAAAAACTGGCCAAACGCCAAGTCAGAAAAGGGGGTCTATAGTCGGGATTTTAAAATAACGATGGATGATGCCTGTCTATCTGAGAGGGGTAGTACACTCCAGAGCATGAGGGCAGCACACAAAAGCCTGCTCCCCCCTCGCTTTAGTTTTCACGATAGGTGTGCATAGTAGCAAGAGATCAGCCAGCCTCAGTCTGCATCTATCTGGGCGGGGTTGCTAAGACACTGCTTGACCCAACCGTGAGGTTGCTTTAGGAGCCCCTAGCTACTGCCTGGCATCGCCCATGGGAAGTGATAGACTGTTCAAAGCGTTAAACACAAAGACCAGTACCTTAAACCTCACCTTAAACATTACAGGGAGCCAATGGAGCAGCGCCAGAACCAGAGTGATATGACTGCATCTATTTGTGTTTGTCAAGAACTTTGCTGCTGTGTTCTGTACAATCTGCAGCCGATTCAGGGCTGAAACAAGAGTGCCAATGAGAAGTCCAGATGAGAGGTGATAAAGTCATCTGCACACACCTAAAGGATTATTAGGAACACCATACTAATATGGTGTTTGACCCCCATTCGCCTTCAGAACTGCCTTAATTCTATGTGGCTTTGATTCAACAAGGTGCTGAAAGCATCTTTAGAAATGTTGGCCCATATTGATTGGACAGCATCTTGTAGCTGATGGAGATGTGTGGGATGCACATCCAGGGCACGAAGCTCCCGTTCCACCACATCCCAAAGATGCTCTATCGGGTTGAGATCTGGTGACCGTGGGGGCCGTTGTAGTACAGAGAACGCATCGTCATGTTCAAGAAACCAATTTGAAATGATTGGAGCTTTATGACACGGTGCATTATCCTGCTGGAAGTAGCCGTCAGAGGATGGGTACATGGTGTAGCGGAAATCCACATTTCACATTCTAAAATAATTTTGGTTGGACTCACGAGAAGAAGGACAACAAACTGTTATTTCACACAAAGCTTTTATTTCTCTTACACCATAACAGAGGGGAAATTTGAAACAGGGCCGCAGTCATAAAAAACAGAATTCCTTTCCAGCACATCAGGTTCATCTCCTACACGGAACCCCCTAGTCACAAATTTTATCATGACTTGTGCTTCTCTCCTGTACCAATCGGAGGACTCGGACGTATCAGAAACGGACCTGTTTGATGTCAACGTGTGGCGTGGGTTCTCATAAAACGTCTCAGGGGTTGTTCTGGAAGTTTCCACAATTTAGTCCTTATGAAACCTGATATTTTTGTTTATCAACAGTCAAAAGGTGTTTAACTTGTTTACCATTAAATCTGTTCAAAATAAACATTTAAACTCTTATCAGTTACAGGAATAAATGTTTGTTTTGTGTTTTTCTTCTATGTTAAAATGCCATTTTTGTGTCACCAGTTAAAGTTCATGTTAATGATCAAGTCTAGTCCTTCCCTGTTTGAAGTAATAGTTTTTCATGCCTTATACGGATAATTTTGGTAAATTGTGATGTGAACTTTATGGTGAGTTTATTTGGAAGAGCCACAGTGCCATCCAGTGGTTAATAGGGGAAATGCATATGGGCGTGTCCAAGGAAAAGCCATAAAAACCTTGTTTTCAAACCTTGTGGAGCAGAGCAAAGAACAAAGAACCAGGCCTTAAGCAAATTCTGCTAGGCTCTCCACCTCGCCAAGCAACGCCGTCACTCTCAAAGTTTCTCAAGTCATTGGCGCTCCCAAAAGTTATGGTTTAACCCAGCGGTAACTCAGTTTGTGTTTTTTAATCGTTTACATCAAACCGGAGGTCGGTTTGGTCCGGTAAAGTTTTCACAATAAGAGTTCAACGAATTTGGAGTAGTTTTTCTGATTCGGCTCCATTTTTGAAAATTTGGACCCGCGCTCTGAATTCAACGTTTTCGGTGCACCTGAAGCGAAGAAACACAAAGTCAAGCCAGTGCAGAGGAATGTGGTCTCCTTCACTACACAGACTACCGTTGACCAACACCGGAACTAGAACCTTCCCGTCCGGAAAGCCTATGCCGGGACCCAAAAAGCTGATTCAGCCTCTGGTTACCTATCAGAATAGAATAGAATAGAATAGAATGCCTTTATTGTCACTATACAGGTGTAAAGTGAGATACAGAGCATCTCTTACTCAGTGTAAAACAAACATACTTGGGGGGTACAGGTCTGCAGCGCTATGTACATATGGACAGTAATGTTATGTACATACAATTTATTGCACATGGAGTTTGGTATCAATAGATAGTGGTGGTCAATGTGGGAAGTGGGGGGCTGTGTTATCGGTGCATGTGTGAGTTCAGGGTGGTTATTGCTTTGGGGAAGAAACTGTTTTTGAGTCTGTGGGTTTTTGTATTAGTGCACCTGTAGCGCTTCCCAGAGGGAAGCAGTCTGAACATGTTGAAGCCAGGGTGGGAGCTGTCCTTGATGATGTTTGCTGCCCTACTGAGGCAGCGGGAGGAATAAATGTCCATCATGGATGGGAGAGGACAGCCGATGATCTTCTGTGCTGTCTTTACCACACTCTGAAGCCTCACTCTATCCGCCTTGGTGCAGCTGCCGTACCATACCGTGATGCAGTAGGTTAGCAGGCTCTCAATGGACGAGCGGTAGAAGGTCAGCAGCAGGTCGGAGTTCAGTTTGTACTTCCTGAGGAATCACAGGAAGTGCAGCCGCTGTTGGGCCTTCTTGATGACCGCTGAGCTGTTTTCTGCCCAGGAGATGTCATCAGAGATGAGGACACCAAGAACCGGAAGGTGTGGACCCTCTCCACACACTCCCCGTTGATGTAGAGGGGGGCCAACTCAGGCGACGAAGGAAAGGTCTGTGAATCATTTCTTTCAGCTGACTTTTCTTGCTAAAGCCCGATTAGTGAATTCAGATTATCACATTTATGGCGTGTTTTATCTTGATCCAACTTTTAAGACTTTTTCTCATTTTTCTGCTGTAATGAACTCTCATTTGCATGCACACACATGAACACACCTCCTTCTGCACTAACACACACACACACACACACACACACACACACACACACACACACACACACACACACACACCCATCAGAACTTATCCTCAGTTCTACGATAATCGTGTGTCACCTAATTGCCACTTTTATTACAGGTCAGTTTATTTCATATCACTGCCATTAAGCTTTGAGTTTATCCACTTTCTTAATTCCATGCATGAAACTATAAATTTATGTTTGGTTCATTTGTCATTTGTAACAACTGATGTTTGTAATAAACTCACAAAACGTAAATAAAAGCCTGATAATTTCTAGCAATCTTGAGAATAGTCAGCGCATTCTGGCAAGAATTCATCCTTAAGATTAATTTGTGGTGTTAAATTTCAGAATGATTACATTGAACAGATCTGAATATCAAATTCATTTTTCCAGGTTTTTTTAACAAAAACTGGCGGTGCCCCCGATTAAACTAATACGAGGTGACAAACAAATGAACAAGCTGAATCAACACTGCTTTTGATTTATAGATATAAATATAAATAAAATATAAATTAAATAAAATATAAATTGCTGCAATGGTGGTCATGAAGGGATGGGCATGGTCAGAAACAATGCTCAGGTAGCCCGTGGCATTTAAACCATGCCCAGTTGGCACTAAGGGGCCTAAAGTGTGCCAAGAAAACATCCCCACACCATGACACCTCCACCGCCAGCCTGGTGACAAGGCATGATGGATCCATGTTCTCATCCTGTTTACGCCAAATTCTGACTCTACCATCTGAATGTCTCAAGAGAAATCCAGACTCAGACCAGGCAACATTTTTCCAGTCTTCAACTGTCCAATTTTGGTGAGCTGGTGCAAATTGTAGCCTCTTGTTCCTATTAGTAGTGGAGATGAGTGGTACCCAGTGGGGTCTTCTGCTGTTGTAGCCCATCCTCCTCAAGGTTGTGCGTGTTGGCTTCACAAATGCTTTGCTGCATTCCTCGGTTGTAACGAGTGGTTATTTCAGTCAAAGGTGCTCTTCTATCAGCTTGAATCAGTCGGCCCATTCTCCTCTGACCTCTAGCATCAACAAAGCATTTGGCCCACAGGACTGCCGCATACTGGATGTTTTTCCCTTTTCACACCATTCTTTGTTAACCCTAGAAGTGGTTGTGGGTGAAAATCCCAGTAACTGTACGCTCTAAATAGCTTAAATCACCTTTCTTTCCCATTCTGACCTTCAGTTTGGAGTTCAGGAGATCGTCTTGACCAGGACCACACCCCTAAATTAATTGGAAGCAACTGACACGTGATTGGTCGATTAGATAATTGCATTAGGGAGAAGCTGAACAGGTGTTCCTAATAATCCTTTAGGTGAGTGTATAACGCCAGACCAAGAGCAGAACCAATATTTGTGAGTTGTGGCGGATGGCCGCTTATACTGAGCCAGGATTCTCTGGAGGTTTCTTCCTGTTAAAAGGGAGTTTTCCTCTCCACTGTCGCTGCATGCTTGCTTAGTATGAGGATTGCTGTAAAGACTCTGACACTAGTCAGTGACTCGATGCAACCTGCTGGGTTCCTTATATAGGAAACTTTTTACTGATTGGCTTAATGACCTGACCTGTATTGGAATGTTTACAGTGTGAAGGTCATTGAGACGACTCTGGTCCTGATTTGGCGCTTTGTAAATAAACTTGAATTGACACTGTAGTCCTCCTGGCTGCCTGTGGAGCTCTCTGAGGTAGACCACCACAGCTTGTTGAGTTGATGCATGCTTCACTTTGAAGTTGCTCAGCCGTGTTTTTCTGGCCAAAAAACTTTAGCTTAGCTCAGTTAGCTTGTAGCTGGGAAAGTTATGGCTGACATGATTCTCAGAGACTTGCTCTCAGGTCCACCTCTTTGCCCATTTTGGATTGTTTGGGCATGACAAGACTCGTGACACAGCCAAGATGGCGGTGATTGGAACCGTCTATTGTGCCTCAATTCATACCTAAAGAACCCATCATGGAGGGTTTGTCCAGTATTCCTAGAGTCAATGGTCAGGATGGAAGAAAAGTGTCCAAGTTTGTTTAAATCATCTTTACTCACGCTGCTCTTGACATCTTTGAGTTTTGGCAGGATATCAAGAGTGAAGCCATCTGCTTGTCCTCTGGTTCGATTACCACCGTTCATAAAATTACCAAAAGCCAGAACAAGACCCAGAATCTTTTTCACCGTTTCACTTTCCTGCAGTGTCTGTAAAGAGATTGTAAGTATTCCCTTTAAAACAGACCACACCAGTAAGGCAACAGCAGTTAGTATTTAGTGTTTTATAAGCCTTCATATGGCCATCTCTTTCACATTAGTCATTGCAACACAAGGTACTACTGCAGTCAAACAGCTGTTAGCTGATGAGGCAGATGCAACAGGATTAAAACGTCCACAGGTTTCTCAGACAGTAAACTATGACTGGTAAGATGGTTATTTATACATTTTACACAGAAACACACTTGAGACTGTCTAGAAAATTCCTTTAGGCATTTGGCCTTAATTTGACATGTGAGGTCATGTGAGTACTTTGTGATTTATTTAGTACTTTAATGTGAAAGTTAGAGGGTCTGTGCTACTTCCTCACTCACCTTGCACACCCTCTGCAGGATTTCCAGTTTCCTGGTGATCAAGGACATGCACTCAGAGAAGCTGGACTGGAACAGAATGCAGAAGACTCTGCTGGAGAAGTTTGGGATCAGGGAGAGCTGGTACAGAAACCTGCAACAAAATAACGACGTAGTGTCTGTCGGAGTAAGGCTTGATCTGGGTTAGATGAAAGGTTGGGCAGCATTTAGGCAACATTTGTGAATTTAAAATCTTGTGTTTGGGAAGAGTGACTAGTCTATGTAGTGACAGTCTGAATTTGCATGTTAGCTAAGTATTGAAATTAGACGAGCATTTATAAATTAACATTACAACATATTTCACCTTGTAGGGAGGATTACTCACTGCTCGGGTTTGTCCAGAGGCTTGGAATCGTCCTTGTCTTTACAGGACTTTATGTGCTTTTCAATCTTGTCCAACTCCTCTTGTTGTGCCCTCTGTGAAACGGGTGCATTTAATTACGTTCATTATTTTAACAGCAAAAAATATATGAAATATTGTACTATGGTTAATCTCCATCAGTAACAAAGCAATGAGCATGGAGAAAGCTAACACTCTGCCAGTCTGCATGGAATATCTGTTTGTTTGTTTGTTTACTAAGGAGATGCTTTTATCCAAAACATCTTACAATCAACCTAGCATGATTGTTTGTAGTCTGTTGGGGGAACCCGCAGTACCTGGAGAAAACATGTTTGCATGGGGAGAACGAAAGTTAGAATCTGAGACTGAGTTTTAGACTGAAAGGTGCCATCATGGAAGACTTCAGCTGTATTTAAGGAAGCAGAGCAGGTTGTCCAGTAATCGGAAGGCTACAGGTTTGATCCTGGCTCCACTTAACCCACCTTGCCTGCTGGTGGTGGTTGGAGGGACTGGTGGCACCAGTGTTCGGCAGGCCTAGCTTCCGTCAGTCTGCCCCAGGGCAGCTGGGGCTACTTTGTAGCTCATCACCACCAGTGTGTAAATGTGTGTGTGGATGGGTGAGTGACTGTGTTGTGACGCGCCTTGGGGGGCTTGTAGAACCCTAAGAAGGCGCTGTACCAATATAGGCCATTTTATCACAAGTGAGCAGAGGGTCATGAGAAATGAACTACAGAACACCTCCGCAGAGCTTCACTCAGACATTGAGCGGGTCAGGACAAGCGTGGTGGAAGTGGAGAGCAGACTGTCCACCTGGTCTAACAAAGTTATTTACTTGTGGTGCATGGTGGCGGAGCTAAAGAGACATTTCAAAGCCACGAGCTAATTGTAAAGATTTCAAAGGTCAGACGAGAAATTCCTGAGGGTCCGGAATCTTGCTCAACTACAACGGTAGCAATGATGCTAAAAGAAATGCTACAACTAGAAACAGAACCAAAATAGTCCAATCCCATTGGATCTCCCCAACAGGCAAGTAGCAAGCCTCAAACTATTGTGGTTAAGCTACATTCTTACCACAAATGTGCAGATTGTTTGAGTTGCGATTGTGCAAATATTTTGAGATGCGCACTTTCTCAAGACCAAATTCACTACAACAGGGCACCGGCTGCAATCTTCCCTGACAATATGCCGAAAGTCGCCCAAGCCAGAGCTGCATTTACAGACGTGAGGAGGCTTCCTCCAGGTGGACAGCATGTGCTGTACGGCCTGCTCTTCCCGGCAAGGCTTTGTGTTATCCATGACAGGAAGGACAAAATATTCAATTCAGTTTGTTTATAAAGCGCCAAATCACAACAAGAGTCGTCTCAAGGACCTTCACACAGTCAACACTCCAATACAGGTCAGGTCATTAAGCCAATCAGAAAAAAGTTTCCAATATAAGGAACCCAGCAGGTTGCATCAAGTCACTGACTAGTGTCAGTGTCTTTACAGCAATCCTCACACTAAGCAAGCATGCAGCGACAGTGGAGAGGAAAACTCCCTTTTAACAGGAAGAAACCTCCAGAGGATCCTGGCTCAGTATAAGCAGCCATCCTCCACGACTCACTGGGGATGGAGAAGACAGAGCAGGCACACACACACACACACACACCATATATACCAAGTAGTGTTTTTATGGTTACATTGTGATTTCTTAGTAAATATTCTATTTGGTGAGAGATAAACTTTATTGTATTTATCCTAGTGGATCTATAATTAAATGGGTAAACTAGTAGTAGCACATTCAATGTCAAGGAAAGCAAAAGGTTATTATCAGGAGCGGGAGAATGTTTTAGTGGTTAGCAGCAGTGTGCTAGTCGATGGCCCCCTCCATGAGGCCACCACAGCTCAGCAGAACGTCATTGTAGCTTCTTCTGGGGAGAAAAACACTTAGAGAAAAAATAAAGTTAACAGCTGAAATAGCAGGAAATAATACAGTTAAAGAGCAGATTGTAGAAGAAAGCAGTAGAGTGTGAAAAGTGGTCAGTGTGTCCTCCAGCAGTCTAAGCCTATAGCAGCATAACTACAGAGATAACTCTGGATAACCTACACCAACCTGGAGGCAGCCATGGTTTACGGGAAGAGCAACATCATCCCTGACATCATTGACAGCCTCTTGGTGAAGGGTATCATTCGACCCTGCAACAGCACTTACTCGGCTCCATTGTGGCCGGTAAAGAAACCTAATGGTAAGTGGCGACAGACCATTGACTACAGGAAACTCAAACAACAAGTCCCTTTGTCTAGGTGGCCGATGGCGCGCCTGGAACAAGAACTTCCAAAGGTGAGAGACGCTAAATACTTCTCCACTCTTTACATTGCATCTGGAATCTGGACAATCCCTGCCCATAAATCTGACCGATATAAATTAGCCTTCTCCTTCGCCAACCGCCAGTACACCTCCACTCTGTGTCCTTTTGGCTACTCCAACTCACCAACTGAGTTCAACATCTTTTTATGTTTATGTTTATTTATTTGGCAGACGCTTTTAACCAAAGTGACTTACAATTTATAACCTATAGGGCATGTTGTGATCTGTGGGGGAAACCGGAGTACCCGGAGGAAACCCACGCAATCATTGGGAGAACACGCAACTCCACACAGAAAGGCCGCAGCAGAGTTTCGAACCTGCAACCTTCGTGCTGCGAGGCAACAGTGCTAACAACTGCGCCACCATGCAGTTCTTGGACAAGGCCTGCCCTGATGCTCGAGAGCGAGGTACCCTCATCTATGCTGACAACATTCTTGTTCGTAAGCGTACCTTGGATGACCACCTGTCCAAGCTGGACCATGTCATGGGTCAGCTTGCAGCTGCTGGTGCAAAGATTTCTCTCGTCAAAGGTCAGTGGTGAAAGTCAAAGGTTCAGTTTGTTGGCCTCCTTGTGGGACCACAGGCAGTGCAGCCTCAACTTGGCAGAATTCAAGGAGTTGCCACCATCAAACCTCCTACAAATGTCTCTGAACTTCGGAGTTGCCTCCGTGTGTGCAACTACTCTCGCCAGTTCGTAGAACACTACGCTGAGATGGTGAGATCTCTGACCGCCCTGCTGAAAAAGGATGTACCTTTCGAGTGGACTGAGCAGCAGCAACAGGCCATGGATGACCTGAAAACCATGTTATGCTCAGCTCCATGCCTGGTTCTTCCTGATTGTGGCAAAGATTTCCACCTTGAGGTCGGGTTCTCATCTAACTGCTTGAGTGCCGGTCTCTATCAAGTATATGACTGTGACAGGCGTGTCGTAGCCTATGCTAGTAAACTCTTGTCCAGTCCTGAGTTAAAATGCTCTGACTGTGAAAAAGCTTTGCTTTCCACCATGTGGGCAGTTAAACACTTTTACAGCTACATCGGTGGACAGAAAATCTTCATTGAAACTCAACATCAGCCAGTGACCTTCCTTAACAGTCAACGCAACAGAGATGGTGTGGTGACCAGCGCACGCATCGCGTCATTGCTGCTTGCTCTTTAGAGCTTCAACATTGAAGTCCGCTACGCGCGTCTCAGTTTCACTTGTCATCTGCCTTCTTCTGTCGAGCTCCGTGCTCTCTTTCGTGTTCGTGTCATTCCCTCTTTAGGCGTTAACTACAATGGCGCTGCCAGAGTGACCAGTTGATCCAGTACCTCGAAGGTCAGTGACACCCACATATCTCTGCAGCAGGATCACTTCACCCTGCAGTGGGAACACCAACTACTGATGGGGGGGGGGAGTGATGGTGGCGTTGAGACTCCAGCTGAAGCCCAGCACCTTGGGGTGGGGACGCCGCCTACCGAAAGGGGGACTGACGACATCACTAACCCTATTGCACTACAGCTGGCGCTGGTGACCTCTAGCCCTGAGGTTGGTGACTCACCTACCAGAGGGGGGGTTGAATGTCGCCCTGTACCACTACTGGTTGACCCTGATCTCTCGGACTGCACCTGCGCGTCGACCGAGGGCCCTCCAGAGCGCACACCTGCACCGAACCCTTGCAAGGCCGCGCCTGCGCCAGTCTACAGTCTAAAACGTTCTTGGTTTCAGTTTTCAGGACTGACAAAGTATCTTTTGCTAGTTGCGTGTGTCTGTCTGATGTCAAACGCAGCTAAGCTTCCTCCACAGCCTCCTCTAATGCGACTGTACAAACCTGGGCCCTCTTCGGGTATCATGCTCCGAGAGCACCCAGATCTATTGATGAGTATCTACCGCCTGTTCACACAAAAGATTTGTGTTCAAATTGACCCCGCAATGGCATGCACTAAAGAAATGATGATGACCCTGCCGCTTCACCTGCTGTACCAGTCAGTTCAGTCCAGTGCCACTCCGGCTTGCACTAACGAGCAGTATTTGCAGGACCTGAAGATCCATCTGCCTGCAGCGTTTTCTTTTGCACAGACACATCTGGAGAAATCAGCTGAGGGCAGGAAGGCTTATTATGACCAGAAGGTCTCACATTTTGAACTCAACGTGGGTGATGAGGCCTGGTTCTACATCTTTGCTCCTAATTCCAGTCACACAAAAGTCACCTCTGGTAAACTGGCTAAGAAACTTCGACCGAAGTGATCAGGTCCATACCTGATAACTGAAAAACTCTCTCCGGTTGTGTATCAGATCAAGATCACCGAAGGAAACAAAGATCCCGTCTATAAGTGGGTCCACAGGAACCAAATCAAATCGCTCAAGGGTTCCACTAATTTGGATGATGTTACAACCCAAGACTCTGATAACCCAACTCGATTCGAATCAAAAGAGGGGTGAATGTTCCGTCCGCTCTCGCTCGGTTCTCTGATGTAAGTCACACAGGTTCTGTAGAGTGTGTGTGTGCGTGCGTGGATAGACTTCATGTCTAAACATAACATACAGACTTGGTTGACTTTGTTGTGGTCATGCTGTGGGTTTTCTATAGTTGTATGACTGAGTTCATAACAGCTAACTATGAGTAACTCCACTAACTGTTATGTTTGATCCAAATTCCATGTTCTTTGATTTTTCAGTTCCTAGTGATGTAGATCATTTTTGCAATTTTTATACATTTTATGACTGATTTAAGTTCATTTTATTCTTCATTTTATCTACTAATCTCTGATTCCTACTGTGGTACATTCACATATAGGTTTAGTTACTAATAACACTGATTTACATTTCAGCGTTTCTTCTTCTTTATATTATTACTTCTTTTAACTATATATATATATATATATATATATATATATATATATATATATATATATATATATATATATATGATTATATATTTATTATTTTACATCAGATGCAATCGATGTGTGTCTACATTCTGTGCTCTGTTCTCTGCTGAGTTTCCCCAGTGGTCCTCGCTCCCTTGGAGGACCTCTCCGCTTCATCATCTGATTCTGCTGCCTGTTGCTTGTGGTTCCGGTTCGTTTAGGTCTGGACGTCCTTTGGTTCCTGCCATGGCTGCTGGATTTCTACGGTTCGCCTGGGATCTGGTCCGTTCCCTGCTCATCTGCTTCCTGCCTAAGGATTACGCTAAATGGAATTATTATAGTCCACAGAATGTAGTTAAAAGTCTTCATCTTGTCCAAAATGCTGCAGCTAGAGTTCTGATGAGAATTAAAAAGAGAGATCATATCTCTCCTGTCTTAGCTTCCCTACATTGGCTACCTGTTAAATTCAGAATAGATTTTAAGATCCTTCTTCTCACATTCAAAGCTCTTAATAATCAAGCTCCATCATACATCAGTGATCTGATTGTTCCATATGTTCCTAACCGAGCACTTCGCTCTCAGACTGCAGGTTTACTGGTGGTTCCCAGAATATCTAAAATTATGATGGGAGGCAGATCTTTTAGTTATCAGGCTCCTCTCCTGTGGAACCAGCTCCCAGCTTTAGTCCGTGAGGCAGACACTTTGTCTACTTTTAAGAATAGGCTTAAAACATTTTTATTTGATAGGGCCTATGGTTAAAATCTGATGTTAGCCTAGATTCTGGACAAGTGGGGGAGTAGAGGGAGGTGGAGTGTACAGTCGGTAAAGACGGCTCTCCCTTGCCCTGCCTCCAACATGCCTCCATCTAAATAGGATAGATTATCCTGAGTTATCTCTGTAGTTATGCTGCTATAGGCTTAGACTGCTGGAGGACGTCCTGACCACTTTCCACACTCTACTGCTTTCTTCTATGGTCTGCTCTTTAACTGTATTATTTCCTGCTATTTCAGCTGTTAACTTTATTTTCTCTCTAAGTGTTTTTCTCCCCAGAAGAAGCTACAACGATGTTCTGCTGAGCTGTGGTGGCCTCATGGAGGGGGCCATCAGCTAGCACACTGCTGCTAACCACTTATATATTCTCCGTCTCCTGATAATAACTTTTTACTCTCTTTGACATAGAATGTGCTACTACTAGTTTACCCGTTTAATTATAGATCCACTAGGATAAATACAATAAAGTTTATCTCTCACCAAATAGAATATTTACCAAGACATCACAATGTAACCATAGAAATACTACTTGGTATATAAGTTGTGTGTGTGTGTGTGTGTGTGTGTGTGTGTGTGTGTGTGTGTGTGTGTGTGTGTGTGTGTGTGTGTGTGTGTGTGTGTCGTGGAGGATGGCTGCTTATACTGAGCCAGGACCCTCTGGAGGTTTCTTCCTGTTAAAAGGGAGTTTTCCTCTCCACTGTCGCTGCATGCTTGCTTAGTATGAGGATTGCTGTAAAGACACTGACACTAGTCAGTGACTCGATGCAACCTGCTGGGTTCCTTATATTGGAAACTTTTTTTCTGACTGGCTTAATGAATTGACGTGTATTGGAATGTTTACTATGTGAAGGTCCTTGAGACGATGCTTGTCGTGATTTGGCGCTTTATAAATAAACTTGAATTGAATTGAACTTATTGCCTGTTTGGAATTATTACTTCGAGCTGAGATCACTATTGACTATTCTCCGGTGTGGGGGTTTATTTTTCCTCACTCCTGATGCTCCATGCCTGGGAACTATCCTTTCCTTCCTTGACTGAGGCCTTAAGGCCTCTGGAATTATTCGACGACTCGTGGTTTCTGCCAGGACCCCATGTCCTTGATAAGGGGGATATGTAGCGTCCAGGAATGGTCAGTTTTCATCTACAGTTTGACCTTTTCGGTGACCGGTCATCTACAGACATGAATCTGCCTCTCTGCATCTCTTAATCTTCCAAGCTGCAGGAAAGATTCACCACTGCGTGTTTCCACTCTGATTATAAACATCATGTTCCTTCCTCAAGGTTCCTCTCTGCCACGCTGCGGCATTATCTATCCGCTTGCTTCACAGGACAAAAGATTAACTTTTACAACTCATAAGTTAAATAATCATGAAATAATAATATGGTTGAATGAACAAATGTTTTATGAATAATAGTATTAATGTTTGAATAATCTGTGCCTAATTCAATGAAGTTGAAATGAATTTTAACATTACAATGAAACATTTTGATGTTATGATAAGTAATGTTTGGTTTAACGAGTGAATCATTATCTACACTCAGACACAATGTTCATGAGAGATAAATAAAAGTTAAAGTAATTTCATGCACATAGATATTTTCTTACCCACAAACCAGAGCATCCGGTATCTGAGAAGGCGTGATGTTCTGAGGGTTGTTTGTGAACACCTCCTAACATGGCACGTCCCGACTGGCCAAGTAAATCATAATATGAGAATATTAAAACAGGATCACTTGCTGAGTGATTCAGCATTCTGTTAGTTTTTAGCAGAACTCCGGACTGGCCACCAGAGCAAACTCTTTAACCACAAGCTTTCGACAAGCTAAAAGCTGCCTACAGCTGACACAGCTACTCAGAAACAGCTGTTCTAGACACAAACTAGTTCCAGCCTGTTGTGCCTGGCGACATCTCTGGACTGGAGCGTCGGTGCTGCCGTTAATCTACTGAACCTCGGTGCCCAGAGGTCATCCGACCTCCCTGACCTCCGGATCCACGAAGAGGGTCTCCAAAGAAAGGGTGAGGTAGACACACGTGACTGCGTCTGATGTGGTTTTGATAAGAACCAACTTCATATTTTAATGCACACTCAGAACCCCGCTTCTTCAGATATACGAGGGCTCTGATAACATAACATCCACACATCACTTTACATTACACTCATCACCTCATAGTTAAAGTTGTCTTGTTTTTAATTTGTTTAGAAAATAAATGTCTTGCTTTTTATAAACCTGACTGTCTGAATTAATACGAAGTGTGTTTGATCACTGAAAAGGCAAAGAATCCTAATTCTTCTGATTGAACATTCAGAGATCAATCAGAGTGATATTCTATATTTATATAGAATATCACAGCTTATTGGTCATAAGTAAAGGTAATATATTAAGCTTAAAAGCAACAATAGTTACCCTCTACATATATCAACCTTATTGGTCTTTGAATGTTTAATCAGAAGATTCTAGGATTCTTTGCTTTTCAGGGATCAAACACACTTCGTTTAATTCAGACAGTCAGGCTTTTAAAAAGTAAGAAATTTAATTTCTAAACAAATAAAAACATGACAAGTTGAATAAGACGACTGTGATGGATGAATATAAGTGGATGGGATGGGATGTCGTCGTCGTCTTCTCCGCTTATCCGACAAGCCAAGGAGAAGGCCTCATATAGCGTCACACCCAACCATGCTTCTGGAATTGTGTTAACTCTGTTCAACAGTCTGAAACTTTATCGATCTTCTGATCAGAGACATTCTCACCAAGAGTTCAAGGGTTCAAAATGATCCAGTATCGAGGCATCCCTTTATCAAGATTTCAATGGTGTGGAACAGTGTGGAAATAGAGTCAGGTTTAGATCGTCGTCGTCTTCCTCCGCTTATCCGGGTCCGGGTCGCGGGGGCAGCATCCCAACTAGGGAGCTCCAGACCGTCCTCTCCCCAGCCACCTCCACCAGCTCCTCCGGCAGGACCCCAAGGCGTTCCCGGACCAGATTGGAGATGTAACCTCTCCAACGTGTCCTGGGTCGACCCGGGGGTCTCCTGCCGGCAGGACATGCCCGAAACACCTCCCCAGGGAGGTGTCCAGGAGGCATCCTGACCAGATGCCCAAACCACCTCAACTGGCTCCTTTCGATCCGGAGGAGCAGCGGTTCTACTCCGAGTCCCTCCCAAATGTCCGAGCTCCTCACCCTATCTCTAAGGCTGAGCCCGGCCACCCTACGGAGGAAACTCATTTCGGCCGCTTGTATCCGCGATCTCGTTCTTTCGGTCATGACGTTAACTTTAATTTATATCTAATGAACATTGTGTCTGAGTGTAGATAATGATTCACCTGTTAAACCAAACATTACTGATGATAACATCAAAATGTTTAATTGTAATATTAAAATTAATTTCAACTTCATTGAATTAGGCACAGATTATTCAAACATTAATAACAGTATTCATATAACATTTGTTCATTCAACCATATTATTATTTAATGATTATTTAACTTGTGAGCTGTATAACTTCATCTTTCATGAGAGTGAGCAATCCTGCAGTCTTATCAAAAGAAGGCTTCGTTTGGGAACGTAGGCTGATATCTTGTCCCCCCTGAAATGTCAACCAGGTTTGCAGAATCTTGTTGGAAGATGGAAAGTAAAATCCACCTTAGAGGATGGAATGATGTCTGCAGACGACCGGTGGCATGTAGGTCAATATGTAGGTGAAAAATGACCCTTTCTGGAGGCTACAATCACAATATGCTAGTTTTATTTGAGAAGGACCTGGATTTGCAGTCACCTGGGTGACGCCTCTATGTTCATAACTCTATATTTTCTTCAAATAATATTGATTATTTTGGTGGATCTACTCAGACAAACTAGTCTGACAGCATTCAAAACACCATCAGAATGACTTTGGAGTGGGCTAAAAAAGGTCCAAGTGTCATAAACTCAGAGTCAAGTGTTTGTTTTCCACTCACAATTTCATACAGGGCCTGGAGGGTCTCCAGGTCCACCACGTTGTTGTCCAGGTTCAAGACAGCTAACAGAGAGAAAGATCACATCGTCTCAGCTGTGACACTTCCCTGGATTCCCCCAAAAGATGTCCAGTTATGTAATTTCAGCTCACCACACTGGATATCTTTCATGTCAAGATGTAAGGAGGACATGAGGATCCCTACTGCCTGAGAGCGCTTGTTGTTCAGAAGCTTCACAACCTGGAGGAGAGATCAGATCCACAACCATTCACTTGTCTAGAATGGGTTCCTCATGAGGTCAGAAGCTGTTGTTTAACCAGGAAGTCTGCTGTGTTTGGAACAGAACTGCTGAGAAGTAACAGTTAAAGCAGCACCAGTCAGGACAAAGGACATGGAGAGGTG